AAAGATGAAGACTTTTATGATGATCCACTTGCACTTAATGCATAGTAAATATTTTCTTTTATGATTTTCTTAATATTTTCTCTAGCTTTCTTTGTTATGAGAATACATTATATTGTACATAAAACACTGTTAATTGGCTGTTTATGTTATAAATAAGGCTTCCTGTCAAAAACAAACTATTAGTAGTTAAGTTTTTGGGGAGTTAAAAGTTATATGTGGATTTTCAACTGTGAGGTGGTTGATGCCCCAACCCCCATGTTGTTCAAGGGTCAACTGTATTAAGCACCTTCAGTATACCAGGCTGTTTTTTTTGTTATTTTTTTTTTTTCACTCTAAATCATTAAACCCTGTGAGGAAAGTTCTGGTACTTTCCCCTATTTAGCGCTTTAGACCAAGAGCTGGTAAGTGACAGCTGAGATTCAAACCTGGATCTTTTTTGACTTGAGAACCCACAGGCTTAACCACTATTATAAAACCATGTGTAATCACAAAGCACCAGGAATTAGCAGAGCATGGACTCCATCCTGAAGTCCATGAAAACTCATGGAAGAGTTTTTTTCCTTCCATTTTTTCCTCTTCGTGATGAACAACATAGTCGTGTTCAAGATACAAAAATAAAACTTTGTAGATAGACACAAAAAGTAAAGCTCTTTTATGTTCCCATTATCCCACCCCTAAAGTAGACAAAAGGTATACCTAGGCAGTCACAGAAAAATACAAACTAGCCAATAAACCAGGAAAGATCCTTATCTTCCACAAGTACATGAAAGCAAATGTATAGCCAGGTGTGGGGGTGTGTGCCTGTAGTCCCAGCTACTTGGGAGGCTGAGGCAGAAGGATCACTTGTGCCCAGGAGCTCTAAGTTCCAGTGAGCTATGATGACATCACTGCACTCTAGCCCGGGTGACAGAGCAAGACCTTGTAAAGCAATAGGGAAGAATATGGGCTGTGGAGACAGACCATCCCAGCTGCAACCTCAGCTTGTCCTCTGGTCGTGGAGAGACTGAATATGCAGACAAGAGCCAGACCATATATAAGAGGAGAATTCTGACCCATAACCTGTAGCAACCTGCGTAGGAAACCAACCTCCCAATCTATAATAAATAGCCTAGAAAGCCAGCTATCTTTTTTTTTTACTCACACTTCCTCTGGAAGCTATCTTTAGTAACAATCCAGGAAGCCAAACAATAACCTCTCTAACAATTGATCCAAAATGACTAGGACTTGATTAGTAACTGACAGCTTTCCTAATTTTTGTCCCCCGTTTCTAACTTAGGACTACTAGAGAAACCCAAATAAGCACCCATAACCAATCACAAGGGATGCCCTGACTCCAGTTAGCTCACCTCTAGTTTGCCCGTGCCAATAGCCTCCCATCAGGGCATACCTGAAGCCTTCCCTTTTTCCACTATAAACTTTTCCCACTCCTCTGCCTGCTTTTGAATCTCTCTTGCTCTGAGTTAGTAGCTTTTGCTTGTTCTCACTGAGTTGGTCTCTGTGTATTTCCATGTCGTGTAATCTTGGGCAAGTTTCCTAACCTCCTTTTGGTGCCTCGGTATCTGCCTTTGGAAAATAGGACTGATAATAGTATTAGTACTCCTTAAGTAAGTATTAATAATAGTACTATTAGGAGGGAAGGGGCGGGGCAACTTCTCTCAGAGTGCTCCTTAAATTCGTATTGAGGATGAAATGAGTTAATACGTTTATTTATTTATTTATTTATTTGAGACAGGGTCTTGGTCTGTTACCCCAGGCTGGAGTGCAGTGGTGGGATCATAGCTCATTGCAGCCTCAAATTCCTGGGCTTAAGCGATCCTCCCACCTCAGCCTCCTGAGTACCTAGGACTACAGGCACACACCACTACACCCAGGTAATTAAAAAAAAAAAAATTTGTAGAGATGGAGTCAGGGAGACGATCTTGATATGTTGCCCAGGCTGGTCTCCAACTCCTGGCCTCAAGGGATCCTCCTGCCTTGGCCTCCTAAAGTGCTGAGGTTATAGGTGTGAGCCACCATGCTCAGCCTAAAATTCTTAGAACAATACTTGACACATAGTAAATGTTCCAGAATGGCACATATTATTATTTTTAGTGATAGAAATCATCTCACAAGTCACACGAATTAATTTTTAAAATCCACGTAACGTGTTTAGCCCAAACCTAGCATATTTAAAATGCTCATTAAGCATTATCTAACAAGTATTATTAAAGCCATTGATATGAATAGAATTATTCCAGATAAGAAGGGCTGTAGGAAAGAATCCTAGGGGCCATCCCAGGGAAAGGATTTGACCAAGGAGATCAAGAAACTGTGTAAATTTTTCCAGGTAATAAATGGTGCCCAAGTGGAGTAGACTAAATATAATAGCAATACGTTCCAGAACATCTTCCCTGTTCTGGAAATCCAAGGGAAACCTCAGGATATACACTGCTGTTTTTGGTAAAAGAAGCATAAAGCCTTCTTATCATTGGGTCTCAAGTTGGGGGGAAAAAAAGTCACTTCTTAAAGAGGCTCTCCCTGGCCATCCTATTTGAAGTACCATCTTCCCTCCATCATTATCACTGTTTTTTTCACAGCACTACACTCTGAAATTATCTACATCGTTTATTTGTTTTTTCCCTTCCCCTGTCTAAGACTCTAAGCTCCATGAGTAGAGAGGCTGTTTATTCACGGCTACATGCCATTGCGCAGGACAGTTTCTTGTGCTGCTCAAAAGTTATTTGTTGCATAAATGAATTAATGAGACCCACATTAGAGAGGGCAACTTCCCCCGATAAACGATTCCAAGTATGGCAGAATTTCTACCAAGATCTTTTCCTTGTCTACAAAAAACAAGGCAAAAATTTAATAATACTATCATGATGGAAAGGTAAGCTTTGTGTCCTCAGGCAAGCACAGAACTGCAGTTTCAAGTAATCCTCGCTTTCTGCATCCACGCCTGAGGCAGATTTGTAGCCAGTGTTCAAAAGGACAGTTTTTGGTTATGCTTCAGGTTGACATTATTCTGAATATGACGATTTTATTATCCATGGAATTAACGGGATATCTGGCTGGGAAGGAACTTTGAGTTCCTGAAGCTCCAACTCTCAGTGAGAAAGCCGAGGTCTACAGAGAATGGAGATTACTATTCCAATGTTATACTGCGACTCAGAAGCAGGAGTGGCACCCTGAACTCTTAAACCATAGGCTAGTTGGTATGACTTGCTAGGGAGAAGATCCTCCCCACTTTTCAGGTCCTCCCCGTTCCGACTCCCACCCTAGAGGCAACCTAGTCCTCCTAGCTTAACACGCCGCTCTAGCCCAGCCTTTCGCCTTGACTGCTTTTCCGCCGGCCAACGCCTTTTCTGATTGGCGCAGGCGTGCGCCGTGCGCGATGACGTCACGAAGCTCCGTCTTACTATAAAGGCTTCGCTGGGGCGCGTGCGCGCCTCTTTCTCAGTTACCGCGGCCTCCGTTTAGGTGAGGTTCGGTGACATGCTTTCTGGTCCGGGTTTGGGTTGTGTGCTCGCGTGGGCATTCCGAGCTTTCATGAGTACGCTAAAGAAGTTAGGGACTAGAGGAGGGTGGTTGGACGGTAGTGCACGGTTCTGCGGAGGGATACTGGTTATAAAGCTTTGGAGGCGGTTCTCGCGAGATCGACTCTGGGCTCACGGGGTTTTAGGAGAGTGAGAGACTGCGCGGTCGCCGCCCAGAATCCTCACGCTCAGCTTTCCTTCCCGCGCAGGCGCAGACAGGCAAGCAGAGCCAGCATGCCAGTGGCCCGGAGCTGGGTTTGTCGCAAAACCTATGTGACCCCGCGGAGACCCTTCGAAAAATCCCGCCTCGACCAAGAGCTGAAGCTGATCGGTGAGTGGCCAAGGCAAGGTTCGGTTTCCGGGGTTAGGGGAAGGCCAGCACGTGGGTCGGGGCGCCCACGTGTTCGTTCCAGTCTTCTCCCCAAATGTAGCCTTTCTCCTCCTTGAGAAAGATTTTCTGTATCCCGAAGCTGGCAATCCAGTTGTGTTAGTCCGTGGGACTGAGCCCGTCAACCCCCTTCTCACCGTATGCAGGCGAGTATGGGCTCCGGAACAAACGTGAGGTCTGGAGGGTTAAATTTACCCTGGCCAAGATCCGCAAGGCCGCCCGGGAGCTGCTAACGCTTGACGAGAAGGACCCACGGCGTCTGTTTGAGGGTGTGTATTGGATCCACTGGGAAGGGCTGGGGTGCGGGGCTTGTGAGGGTTTTTCTCCCATCTAGGTCCTCTGTTCCAGCGGTCAGAGTTGTGACATCGAACAAATGGAGCCAGCCTTTTAACTGAGGCATTTTAATAGGAATTGCGGAGTAGGAAACGTAACAGTTTCCAGTGGTAGGACATGCTCTTGTTGAAGGTGTGGTAAAGTTTGTCAGCGTGCAACTGAAGTAGTGCGGTGAGAACAGATCAAAAAGTGGGATTTCTGGAATAAGCGATGGTGATAGCAGGGAGCAGGTGTGTACATGTGCTTGTGCTAATAAGCTGGTCAAGGACATTCAGGCGACATTGAGCAAAGGCCTGAACAGTAGAGGAAATGTGCATGTCTCAGGGGAGAGTATTTTAGGACGGGATAAATGTCTTTTATTTCAATAGATTTGGGGGTTACAAGTAATTTTTTTGTTATGTGTATATATTGTACAGTGGTGAAGTCTGGTCTTTTTAGTGTACCCATTACCTGAATAGGTCTCATTGTACCCAGTAGGTAATTTTTCATGCTCCCCACCCCTTCCTTAACTATCTTTTCAGAGTCCCTTTTTTAAGATCTTAAATTCCTTCCTTGAGATGGGGTGTTAATGGAGTGCTTTCCAGAGCGCAGAAGTGATCAAGAAGAGTGACACATTAATACATCTTGAGACACTACTTTTAACTTGCATTTAGATAACCATGATTTAGGGTAAAAAGCAGGAGGGTCTGGGAATCAAGAGGTCTGGCTTTTCTCTAAATTTTCAACGAAGATTACTGGTATTTTTTTCCTAGTTTTCGACAAAAGTGTATAGGAAGGAGCTGCCTCTACACCTGGGCCCTCATATGTTAGGCATGAGAATGAGAAAGTTCTGGAGCTTTTTTAACCACAGATTTATCACGTTGTGTCCCAGGCTTGCAGATGTTAGATGTTTGCATTCCTTTTGTTTAGATCATAGAGCCCTTTGAAAGTCTCTTGAAAGCTCTGGAATCCCCTCCCCCCATGGACACAGATATTGGATAGGAGTTTATCCCAGAGTCTCTGGGGAGTGGGCCACAGCTGGTTCTGGTTTTAGGGAGGACTTTCTGAGCATAGACCAGAATGAAGAATGAAACTTGCTCAGGTCCACAGTTCTAGGTGATACAGTCATGAGAATGAGCTGCAGGAGGTGTCTTCAGTTATTTGTGGTTTTCCAGGGCAGACATGAAAGTTGCCAAGGGGAAGGCACTTCCTCAGGTAGTGTACTTTCTAGTAAATGAAGCCATCTAGTCCAGAACGGGAAGGAGGAGCCTGAGAGGTGTGCCTCTACAGTTTGTTGTCAGCACCATTGCTTTGATGTTTGTTCTTTGGAATAGCCCTGCCTTGATTCAGATCCAGCCTTTCCCACTAAGGTGTGTGACAGGCAAGAAGGTCCTCTGAGTCTCTTCGTTAAAAAGACAGATTGAACAGCAGCCAGCGTTTGGCTGGCAGTTCTTGCAATGTTTCTCGGTGTGCAACTGAAAGCTACCATCTTCGTACCTGATAAGGTTTTGCCTGGGTTGGAGTGGCTGATCTTTTCCTGTTCTTTTCCAAGAGGTAGATGGTTTAGTAGTAAATGTGAAATACATTTTTTATAATGGCTTTATTTTGCCCAAAGGACTCTTAAATGATATTGAACTTTAGAAAATTGTAAAGTTCCTGTTCTGATGTAAAAACAAAAAGACTTGCAGTATCCAAACAGGTAGAGCATCCCAAACTCATTTTAATTTCCTTTTGGCTATATTTTTGTATTAACGTCTGAGTATCATCCAATGTTCAACATTAAAAAAAGGGAACAGAAAGCTGTATTGTGGTTTAGGATGCTGGGAAAGGGATACAGCACGTGTCTCATTTTGAGTCTGCTTGGGAAGACTGGGTTTTCACAAAGTCGGCTAGCTTTGCTTCATACCTTCTTTGGAGGGTAGCAGCACTGGGCATATTAGGAGTGCCTGGTAAGTGTTGGGCTGTTGTTTATGAAGCTTGCTTGAGTTGTGTTTTGCTCTAATTAATCAGAGAAGTGAAAGTAATTGTTTTTTTAAGAAAAAAGTTTTAGGCTTTTACCCCATTGTCATGGAGCAAATTTCCTGTAAGCCCGTGTGGTGATAGAGCACCCAGCGATCAAAGTGTGAGAAAGGGTTTGCCCCAGGGTCCCAGGGGCAGTCCAGAATAGTGGTCAAGAGCCATGGCCTTGGACAGACATGGGCCAGTAGCAGGGTCTCCTGAGCCTGGTTTTGGAAGAAAGGTAGTAGTTGACATGCGTCGGATAATTTATGCTGTGCTTTGCTGGATTATACACACACCATGTTTCGTCAGTGGAAAATTTCACAAATAGAACAGTAAAATTAATGACACATACTCACCCAGAACATGCCCAGTCTTAGATGTTTCCTTCTCAGCTCTAAAAGATAGGTGCTGTTATTATTCCTTTATTACGGATAACAGACGTGGTTAACCACTGTGCTTTGTTATGGCAGTAGTAGCTTCATAGCAGCAGCACTTAGTGTCTTGCAGACTGAGTCCTTGTAAGGGGATTGTCTCATTTACTCTTGCTAAGAATGTGGAGTGAGGGATGTTGTACTCCTTTTTTTGGGTGCGAACACATTGTATGTATTTAGCTGCCCTCCTTGGCTACCTGCAGGCTACTGTGGCCGTTTTCCATAGTAACCTGTCTGAGGGTGGTTTTGAGGATTGCATGAGTCACAGTGACCAGTACGTTGAGTCCCGAAAGCCCTTAACTTGCTACCTGAGTCCCACCACCATGACATGGAGCTCTTAAGAGGTGGGGCCAGGATTTGAACCCAAGAAGTCTGAAGTGAGTCAGACCCTGAATCAGTGCCCCTCCTACTCTAACAGGCAACGCCCTGTTGCGGCGACTTGTCCGCATCGGGGTGCTGGACGAGGGCAAGATGAAGCTGGATTACATCCTGGGCCTGAAGATCGAGGACTTCTTAGAGAGGCGCCTGCAGACCCAGGTCTTTAAGCTGGGCCTGGCCAAGTCCATCCACCACGCCCGTGTGCTCATCCGCCAGCGCCATATCAGGTACCACCTCTGGTGGCCCCCGAATCTTCTCCCCCAGTCCCCTCGAATAGTTACCCTCACTAAGCCTGCTGTCCTGTCTCCTATGCAGCCCTCGGAGGTGACAGGTGTGAGCTCACCTTGAGGGTACAGATTCACCCCCTGCAAACAGCTCATGTGGGAGCTGGGGGCAGCCTCATCTCCCCATAGCCCAGCGCAAGGGTCACTGCGGCTTGTGCCGTACACCTTGTGAAGGCCTCTGCCAGGCATGTGGGCAGCTGGACAGGTAACAGCTCTGGGCCTCCTCAGTGGAGGGGAGAACTGGGCCTGCCTGGACTGGGTGGGTGGGTTCAGCTGTCCACTGGGCTCGCTCGGGAAGTCCATTCCAGGCCCTCGTCACGGTTGCATTCTTCCGCTTTGTTGGTGTTAACTCGGTGAATTTGCTACAGTCCTGGCCTGATGCTCGGGTGCCAGGGACTGCAGGAGTCCAGCTGGCCGAGGTGATGCAGATGCAGCGAAAAGGCCAGTCAGGGCAAACAGGTCTTTATCTGGTAGATTTGCCCCTTCTGTAAAGTGCGCCCCACGGGGGAAGGACGCCGTGCAGTAAGCAGGCACGATGTTTGCATTCAGAGTTTCTGCCTCGGCCCTCACTAACCCTGTGAGCACGGGCAAGAGCCCTGCTCGGGTTTCTGTGAAATGGTTTCGTAGACAGCCTCAGGCTGCTGCTTCGTGGACATTGAGGCTGCACGTGGCAATAAACGGAGCTCAGGGTTCAGAGTGTCCGTGAAGCGCAGATCTTGGACTTACACGCTGCCCTGGCGTTTGCTTTCTGGTGTTGTGTGGGATGTGTTCGATTTCTCTTCCTTGTTTAAAATGTGGATGAGAAACTCAATAAAAGCATGATGTGGGGATTAGATAATGCCCTAAAGCTCCCCCACATGAGTCCCAGAGAACCGGCAGGGCCCTGAGTGCCCTTGTGGCAGTGCTCTCAGCGTCTCCGCAGCCGCAGCACCGATCGTGTCAGCCGCAAAGGACAACCAGGAGAGTGGTGTCTTGTCTTGGGCCGAGGTCCTTTCTCAGCTTATCCCCTTCACCTGCCGTTCCCTCTTCCAGGGTTCGCAAGCAGGTGGTGAACATCCCGTCCTTCATCGTCCGCCTGGACTCCCAGAAGCACATTGACTTCTCCCTGCGCTCTCCGTATGGCGGTGGCCGCCCGGGCCGCGTGAAGAGGAAGAACGCCAAGAAGGGTCAGGGTGGCGCTGGAGCCGGAGATGATGAGGAGGAGGATTGAGCCCGCCGATGCCCTCCCGGGTTGGTGGATTGTCTAGTTTTCCAGTCAGATAATAAAATAAGATCAACACTTCGGAATTAGTGTTTATTGGTGTGTTTCTTCTCCTCCTGGACTCTGGCCACCTCTCCCCTGCTCTCAACATAACAGACTTCTAGGGGACTCAGGCTGGGTCCTAGACAAAGCTACCTTAGCTAGGCTGTTGCCTAATGTGTAGGGAGGGGCCTGGGTAGGTAGCGCTGTCACATGCTTGGGAATGCCTCCCTGGTGGCGGTCCTTGGCCTCTTGGGGCTGGCTGCAGTAACGTACAAAACATTTTTGTTGTAAGAGGTGGATTTTGCCGTTGGAGTGCAGTGGCGTGGTCATAGCTTGCTGCAGCCTCGAACTCCTGAGCTCAAGGGATCCTCTCGCCTCCCAGTTGCTGGGACTACAGGTTTATGCCTGGCTCAAAACAAACGTCTTTACCAGCCACTTCCGTTACAGGGGAGGAGACTAACTGCTTTCAGGGAAATACTGAGGGGGAAAAAAATGGAAATTCCGAGAAGCCAGCCGTTTTCATAGGGGGATGAGAAGGAGTCATTTCCCGGCAGAGGAAGTAGCAAGTGGCGGTTGGGACCTTTGACCTTGTTGGCCAGAGGTGGGGGCTGATCTCTGAAACAGCCCAGCTTCCTGGGATGTTGGTGAAGATGAACTATGTTAGTGATTTCATTTTTGTTGGGGAGACTTTCAAAGCCTGTTCTGGTATGGTTGGTGTTGGGCAAGTTCCCAGTTTTATGTCTTAAAGATGCGAATTGGTAAAGTGGGAAATGGGTTAGTGACCGAGGGGAAGGCCCATTTAAGAAACTTTGCCCCCCGCCACCCGCATTTGAAGTTTCTACAGTCAGAAGAGAGGCCGACTTCCCTTTTCTCTGCCTTGAGAAGTTGCCAGCAGGCAGGAAAGGAAGTGGCTTGGTCTCTGAGGAAGGTGACAAACACTTGAAATTGAGCAATCCCCTCAGAGACTTAGCCACTTTGCATGCTGTAGTTGTTTGGGTCCCTGTCTGGGGCTATTGGGCTTTGAGGTCAACACGGCTATGCCAGCTTCAATGCAGGGACAAAGCTCTGGGTCCTTTGACACTGCTAAATCACTGAAACCTGCAGGGGAATCTCTTAAGTCCATTGCAGCTTACTTGGTCTAAGTGGTCAGCCGTCCCCCTAAGGTGTCACTGGGGTAATCATGGTGGTCAAGGGTCCATGGGACAGCATCTGTGCCTTCCGGGGTCCTTGCAATCATTCCTTGGAGTGAGGGGTCTGGGTGTCCTAGGTCAGTAGATGGCCGAGGAGTGTAGTCACTGGACTCACGGGGGCTCCCCTGACTTGGGAGGAAGAGGGTGCAGTTGCTTCCCGTTTGAGGATCAAGCTGTCCAGCTGGATGTAGCTCCTGTCCGGGGGTCTTCAGGTGCAGCAGCCTGGAGTGAGGGCCGAGTGGGAGGAAGGTGCATGGCTGAGTGGCGAAAAGTCCGAGGGCTCAGGGAAGGACACGACACCCTCCCTGGGGGTCTTCATCCTCCTGGCCCTGCTGTAGAGAGACTGACGGGGTGGTCTCCTTGATTCCACTCTCACCCTTAAGTCACTGTATCTTGGGGGTCAGGGAGGGGGGACGTGAGGTTGAAATGCCTGTGAGGTGGATGTAGGCAGCTGGCATGTGGGTGGCTGGAGCGAGTCTGGTGCTGGGCAGGGGTCAGGGCTGGAAATAGTTCTCTGTGGAGCCATCGACCTACGAGAACAGTGAGACCCCACTGCAAGGGAGTTAGGTCCCGTCGCTAGTGCGAACGGAGGGGCCGTCATCACTGGTGTCGCGCAGAGAGGCACGTAGTTGGTTTCACGAAATGCTGGAACTCGGGGAAGGATAATATATGGGAAGCCAGGGCTGGGCTAGACTATAGGACACCTTTCAGCGGATTTTAAAAGGTGCCCCAAGACTGTATGACCAGGAAAATAGGGGTTAAAGGTTCTGTGGAGGATTACCTCAAGGAAAAATTGACATTATGTATGAGGCCAAACAGTGCCGTGAAAAAGACACCAGACCCAATCATTCTCAATGGGAATTTGGGAATCTTAATCAAGGCATAGATACTATGGAGAAAATTGGAAAGAAACTTAGAGTAAGCATGCTTTAGATCCTCAGAGTGGCATCTCTGATTTAAGGGGAATTGTTTAGAAAAAAGGTCAGTGTTACGGAAATTTTATAGAGTAATTGAATGAAAAGATGGAAAACTTATTTCATAATCGATGAGAGATAACTGATGAGAAAATCAGGGAATTGGAAAATGGAATTTAGGAAATACCTCAGAGTGTAGCAAAGACCATCGTGAAAATGGGTACCATAATGGATAAAACTAATAATAATCAGGTACCAAAATACACCTATTACGAGTTTTAAGAGGAGGCAAATGAGAGAATGATGAACGGGCAGTAATCAGATACGATGGAGGTTTTCTAGAAATGAAATAAGACAAGAAAATAACAGCATAGCCTTTGAGGACTGAACTGATATTGGAAATACATCCCTTGGAAAGCAAGTTGGAACTTTTGGTCAAAAGCTAACCAGAGAGGAGATGCAACAGGTGGGGTGGTGTGTACGGGGGTGGTACATCCCCCAAAATGGCAGATCCGGAAACTGCAGGGCTCTGTCTCTCCCCAGAAGGAATGAATGAGCGGCAAAAACTGTCAGAATCAACTTCTGAAGAACTCTGGAAGCTAGTCAAAGAAAAAAAGAAAAAAAACAACCAGAAGAAGGTTTGGTACAGAAAGAAGCTGCTGCTTTTGGTAAGAGAGCAGCTGGTCATTTTAAATAGCTTGCCTGCCATCCCCCAAACCACAGATCTGCAGCAGTGGTGCAGACAGCCGCTGAAACTTCTGGGGCAGATTTGCTAGTGCCAGAGGGAGCAATATGGACCTTATTCTCAAAGAACTGTGGTTGTGAGTCGACCTGTCTGGAAAGCTCTCTTAGTGACTGGTGCAAAGGCTTAATTTTGTTTTGCCTGACTCATAGCATTCCCAAGACTGCAGTAGCTTCTGGGAATCTCTAACCAAAAGTATTTAAAGGCACAGCGATTGGGATTTAGTAGCTTTGGGACAAGAGACACCACTTGGGACAAGCAATAGATAGACCAAGAATCTTGGGAAGGAAGAACTTGGGTCAGGAGATATATGGGAAATAGGGTTTAAAATTTTTTTAAAAAATTATTTACTTAGCCAGTTAGTTAGTTAGTTGGAGACAGGTTCTTGCTCTATTGCCCAGGCTGGAGTGCAGGGGCATTATCATAGCTCACAGCAACCTCAAACTCCTGGGCCCAACAGATCCTCCTGCCTCAGCCTCCCGAGTAGCTGGGACTACAGGAGCACGCAACCATGCCTGGCTAAGTTTTCTATTTTTGGTAAAGATGGGGTCTCTTGCTCAGGCTGGTCTCGAACTCCTGACCTCAAGTGATCCTCTCGCCATGGCCTCCCAAAGCACTAGGATTACAGGCGTGAGCCACTACACCGGCTGGAAATATGGTTTTAAAAAGCTTTTGCATATTCCAGCTAATTGAGAAAACCACGTGTGTGTCAAGGGTAGGACTCATGCTCAGAAGAGAAGATCCTAACATTTCTCCTCTAGCCTTCAGGCCCCATGAAATAGGAAGGGAGGCCGGGCGCGGTGGCTCACGCCTGTAATCCTAGCTCTCTGGGAGGCTGAGGCAGGCGGATTGTTTGAGCTCAGGAGTTCCAGACCAGCCTGAGCAAGAGCGAGACCCCGTCTCTACTAAAAATAGAAAGAAATCAATTGGACAACTAAAAATATATAGAAAAAATTAGCCGGGCATGGTGGCTCACACCTGTAATCCCAGCACTCTGGGAGGCTGAGGCAGGAGGATTGCTTGAGCTCAGGAGTTCGAGATCAGCCTGAGCAAGAGCGAGACCCCGTCTCTACTATAAATAGAAAGAAATTAGCCAAACGACTAAAAATAGAAAAAATTAGCCAGGCGTGGTGGCGCATGCCTGTAGTCCCAGCTACCTGGGAGGCTGAGGCAGGAGGATCGCTTGACCCCAGGAGTTTGAGGTTGCTGTGAGCTAGGCTGATGCCACGGCACTCTAGCCCGGGCAACACAGTGAGACTCTGTCTCAAAAAAAAAAAAAAAAAAAAAGAAATAGGAAGGGAAAGCTAAAGCTTATCTCTCAATAACCTGGCTAAGCACCAAAGAAATAATAATAATAATAATACAGAGCTAATCTGTAAAGACAGTCATCCCAAAGTTAATGCAAGACACGAATCTGCACATCCAAGGTTCCCAGTGAACTTCAAACAGGATAAACCCACAGATATCCACACTGAGACATTGTTGTCAAATTGTCAAAAGCCAAGGACAAAGAATTTTGAAAGCAAGAGAGAAGTGATTTGTCCTGTACAAGGGATCCTTGGTAAGATTAACACAGTTTCATCAGAAGGTAGTGGGATGATGTGTGTACAGTGCTAAAGGGAAAAATCTGTCCACCATGAATCTGGCAAAAACTGTTCTTTAGGCCAGGTGCGGTGGCTCATGTCTGTAATCCTAGCACTCTGGGAGGCCCAGGCAGGAGGATCGCTTGAGGTCAGGAGTTCGAGACCAGCCTGAGCAAGAGAGACCCTGTCTTGACTAAAAATAGAAAAATTAACCAGGCACAGTGGCACATGCCTATAGTCCCAGCTACTCAGGAGGCTGAGACAGGAGGATCGCTTGAGCTCAGGAGTTTGAGGTTGCTGTGAACTATGATGACACCACTGCACTCTAGCCAGGGTGACAAAACAAGACTCCATCTCAAAGAAAAAAAAAAAAAGAAATGTTTTTTAAGTGACTTTTAAGTTTCCTATTGCTGCTGTGACAAGTTACCACAAACTTAGTGGCTTAAAACAACAGAAGCCAGGCACAGTGGTGTGCGCCTATAGTCCCAGCTGATCAGGAGGCTGAGGGAGGAAGATTGCTTGAGCCCAGGAGTTCCAGGCTATAGTGAACTATGATTGTGCCTGTGAATAGCCTCTGCACTTCAGCCTGGGCAACATAGCAAGACCCCATCTCTAAATAAATAAATAAATAAATAAATAAAAAACCCACACGAGTTCATTATCTTACAGTTCTGGAGGTGAGGAGTCCAAAATCAGTCTCATGGGGCTAAAATCAAGAATTGGGAGACGTCTATCTATTTCATCTTGGTCCAAAACCTGAAGTCTGAAATGCAATTGATTTTTATGTATTGATTCTATCCCAGTGATATTAGAAAATGCCTCTTTAATTTGAGTAATACATCTTTATATTATTTTAGATTTTCTGTGCATACAATTGTGTAATCTGGGAGCAATACGATATTATTCTCATCCATTTCAGTGCTTATCACTTTTATTTAATTGGTTGATACTCCCAGTGCCCTGCTGAGTAAGAGGTCGTCACAGGGAGCATACTTGGGTCATTCCCAGTCACAGGGGAAAGACTCCAGGTTCTCACCTTTAAAAATGATGTCTGGTGTAGAGTTTTAAACATACTTCCATATATTGTAGAAAATGCTCTTTCCTTTATGATGGGTATTTATTTTCATTATGAATTATTGGTATATTTGATCAAAAGCTTTGTCTACCTCTAGTGAGATGATAATTTTTATATGTTCATGTACTGAGTTATATTGATTGATTTGAATTTGGGGCTACTTTTGTCATCAATAAAACAAAACAAACCACTGTGGTTGTGATGTGTTGTCCTTTTTGTATGTTGCTGAATCTTGTTTGTGAATACTTGTTTAAAAATTTGCATCTAAGTTCATGTGAGAGATATTTCTGTGACTGTCCCGTTTTTGTGTCAGGCTTTAATATCAATTTTTTCCTGTCTTGATAAAATGTGTTGGGGTTTATTTCCTCTTTTTCTATTCTCAGAGAAAGTTTTTGAAAATGTGTGTGTGTGTGTGTGTGTGTGTGTGTGTGTGTGTGTGTGTTTCATAAGTGCCTAAGTGTTTGGAAGAAATCACTAACAAAGCTTCCTGAACTGAGGTTTATGCTGTCGAAAAATTTTTGATTACAGAGTCAATGCATTTAATATATGTAAGATGATTCAGATTTTCTATTTATTCTTTTTCTTTATTTATATTTATTTCAAAATATTAAGGGAGTATAAATGTTTTTGTTTCATGGATAGCTTTTGTAATGCTTGAGTCAGGGCTATGAGTGTGCCCATCACCTGAATAGTGTTCATTGTACCTGTTAGATGGATTTTTGCTCTTCCCATCTTTCCCTCCCACCCACTTGATTTCCAATGACTTTTACTTTCCTCTGTGTATTTGTGTGCCCATCGGTTAATTCCAATTTATTAGATAGAACATGTGGTGTTTGTTTTTCCCTTCTTGAGATACTTCACTTAGGATAATGGTCTACAAAGAACTCAAACAAATCAGCAAGAAAAAAATTAGCAACCCGATTAAAAAGTGGGCAAAAGACATAAACAGAAGTTTTTAAAAAGAAGATAGACAAATGGCCAACAAACATGGAAGAATGCTCAATCACTAATCATCAGGGAAATGCAAATGAAAACCACAATGAGATATCACCTCCCTCCTGTTAGAATGGCTTTTGTTTATTTTTTTTTTTAGTTTAAGATTTTCTATTTCATGTTCATTTAGTAAATTGCCCATTTTATCTATATTTTCTAATATATTTGCATAAAGTTGTTCCTCATGTTCTGTTATCTTTTTACTATGTGTGTAGGGTCTGTAGTGTTGCCCCCTATTTCATGCCTATATGAAAATGTGTGCTTGCTCTCTTTTTCTTGGTCATTTGTGGCTAGGATTTATAAATTTAATTAACACTTTCAAAAATGAGCTTTTTTGGCTTAATGACTTTCCTCCATTTTTTGTCTTCATTAGTAGTTACTCATTATTTCCTTCCCTCTACCTTCATTTGGAATAATTTGTTATTTTTCTAAACTCTTGACATGGTCATTGATTTTTTTAAGGCTTTTTCTAATATATTCCTTCATTGTTAATTTTTCCATTGCACAGGTTTGATGGGTAATAGCGACATTATCATTCAGTTGAAAACATTCTCTCACTTCTGTTTTGTTTTCTCATTTAACTCATTGATTATTGAGAAGTCTGTTGCTTTATTTCCAAAATGTAGGGATGTTAGTTACCTCCGCAGAGTCAGGTGACTCTCAAAAGTTCCCAGAACCTCCTGGTGGTCTTTGTCAGGGGTCCAGGCTGGGGTTCACTGGTTAGTGCTCTGGGGGCAGCTCCTGTGCTTTTAGGGTCCCTGAGTGTCCCTCCGTGCAGTGTGGGGTCTGGGTCCCTCCTGGGCTAGTGGATGGCCAGAGCGGCGTACACGCTGGGCTCAGCGGGAGGGTCTCCCTCCTGGGACGAAGGAGGTGCAGTTGTCTCCCGTCTGAGGGTCAAGCTGTGCAGCTGGGCGTAGGTCACCTCCTGGGGGTCTTCAGATGCGGCAGCCTGCAGTGGGGGGAGAGTGAGGGAAGGCACGTGGTTGGGGTGGGGGGAGGCCTGGGGTCCTGGGGAGGAAAAAAACTCACCTGACTGTCCATCTGCCTGTCCCCTTCCTCCTGTCTGTCCGTCATGTCCAGGAATTCCCCAGACAGTGGGGAAGGAGGGGAGGCCCCTCCTCGCCTGAGCCTGGAGTGGTTCACCTGGGCATATGTCACTCCCTGGGGGTCTTCGTCATGTGGGCTCTGCGGAGAGAGATAGTGACCAGGTCTCCTTGATTGCACTCGACCTCCCTTAGTTAGGTTTTCACACTGTTCCAGAGTGATCCGATTATGTCACTTTCTTGACGGAATCTCCAGGGACTTCCTAAGTCCTTGGGGG